TCATTGCGCTTAAGCCATTCCTGTGCCATTTTGGACCGATGTTTTGGGTCATTATCGTGCAGTAAATATATTTGATTCTTGTTAAATTGATAATAAGCTAGCGTTCCTAACAAATCCTCCTCTAAAATTTGACAATAAAGGGTTGCATCAAGGCCACCATCGATTTTAACCAAGTTACCAGGTCCTTCAGCTGTTATGCAGTCCCACAGGAAGATACTACCGCCACCATGCTTGTGAACTTGGTTCACGTTATGGTCTTGTAAGGCTGCTCCTTCCTGTATCCAAGTCCACTGCTTACCATCACTACCAAAGCGGTTGAGTTTGGTTTCATCCGAATAAATAACCCTTTGCCAATCGTGAACTGTCCAATCCTTGTACTTTCTGGCAAATTGCAGTCTTGCCTTTTTCCTTTGTGCGTTTAATGGTAATGCCTTCGGTTTTCTTTTCGAGTTGAAGCTGGCCTCACGTAAGACATTACGGACAGTTTTCGCCGATGCTCTCGTCTGGACAATTGGTGCTATTGATTTTGCAGCTTCTGTTGCTGTTACATAACCGCCCGTCTTAAACTTGAGGACAATCTGGCGCTTGGTAGTACCAGAAAGTAGAGGCTTGCGGCCTGCTCGATTGATTGAGGCGTGGTTTATTTCTTTTGCCACCTTAGCCACGTAACCTTTTGAGACCGTCAACTCTTTTACTATCTCTCTTTCAGTTATGTTCGAGCTCAGTTTGGCAATTACTTCCATTTTAACACTGTTAGGTATGCGTTTCATGATGATGTACACTAGCCTATAAGTGCCTCGAGAGTAAATTTCCTGCTGATATACATATTCGTACAAAAGACTTACCTTAGGTTGATCAATTATAAAGAAAAAGAACGTAAAATAGCTCTTAAGCAAATTTTTTAAAAGAAACTGTGGCTTGAACAAAAAACAGCAACATATTCTGAAATGAAAAAAGCACTCAAACAATTGCCCACATAAATTTTTAATTTTGAGCGTTTGTTTCTAGCTCCGACTGTATGTGACTGGTATGTACTATACACCATTCGATAGCCAATAACCTAGGCTTTCGTTTGATATACAATATGCCGCACTTCTAAGTGATCCATGTCCCTTGATTCTTCGTTGAACTAAAAACACGTAAACATGTGGGCAATTTTTTGAGTCACTGTAAACAATCCTATAGTGACCGAAATATGGAACAAAATGCTTCCAAAACCATCCTTTATGTTCAGAGTGGGCAGACATTATGTCCTGACTATTTAATTCCCCCTGAATCAGAAAGAGCGAATCTTCTCATTGACGCTCATCATAAAGTTGGTCACTATGGTGCAGAACAAATGGTAAAACGATTGCATTCAGAAGGCATTCACTGGCCCAACTTAATCTCGGATGCTGTTCAATTTATCAGAAAATGTCACGAATGTCAACGATATAACATTCAGAAAAAAGGATATCACCCTTTAAGACCCATCTACAGCTATTGTCCTTGTTTTGCCAAGTACAAAGGTAAGAGACAAAAACTAATAAGATGAGAAAAGGATAGGAAAAGGACAATAAGTCAGTGAGACTGAAATATATGATATCTTTATTTATGATGAATAAAACAATGGTATTTATATTTTTTAACATCTACGCACAATAACGATAATTGGCTTGATTGCACATCTATTTATAATCATCCAAGAATTATGGGAAGGGCCTCTAGACTAAAGTGAACCTGATCTGACAGTGATTGTCGAATGAGGAACCATTGATCTGTACTACAGGAGCACTGGCGTTCAATTGAAGTATTGTAACGGCGCTCCAGGAGTTAGGTATAAGAGAGTTCACATATGATAGGCTATATGTGGAACAAGCTATAGCCGAAGAGCAGTAGCTGTGAATATTTATTGATAATGTTGTGATGGCACAACAGTCCTGGCGATCATTATGCTATTGACCTTGGTGGTCCTATAACAACCGTGAAAGGCTCACACGTGAATTACTTCATGATGATAGTTGATGTATGCACAAGATTTTGTATCATCAAAGGACTTCCTGATAAACAAAGTACATCTATTGTATCAGCACTAATTGACGTTTTTTCCATACTGGGATATCCGACTAAATTGCAATCTGATAATGGTCGAGAATTTTCTAATTCCCTTATGAAAGAATTGTCTGATGCGATGGATACTGATCATCGTTTCATTACTCCTTTGCATCCTTCTGCAAACGGTCTAAGTGAGCGCTATGTTCAATCTGTAAAAAAGCTATTTGCTAAAGCCACTAACGGGGCAGGCGTAAACTGGCACTGTTGTATTTGGATTTGGATAGGTTTAAACAAAGTAGAAAATACGATGAGACTGTGTTGTATCTTTATTCAGAATAAAGTGAAAAGAAAAAGAGATGATAGCACAATCTATAATTATATATTAAGAAGCTGAGGTATTTAAACTGAGTTGGCTATATTTGATTAAGGTGTAACAGATCTTATAACAGCATTAGGTTCAACTCTAGATATTGTATTTAAGCACTGAATAGTAGCGTGGATACTACAGACACATTGTCGTGTTTACATAGATCACACATCTCTTAATTCTCTATTTATTCATTCTCAGCTAATAGACGACGTCAGACATTTACAGTCGTCATCCCTCATACATATTCAGGTCGTACCCTCATTTATTAGTTCCTCTCTCAGACTTATAATAAAAATAGTAATTGTTAGCTATTGACTCTTCACTGTTTTACAACTATATAAGCATAAATATCACACACATGTATCTACCGGCTGTTCAACTAGCTTTGAATAACCAGACTAGTAAACGTGTCGTATTTACCCTATAAATACTTAGTCTTGTCGTATGAGATTATTATAAATCTATATTCTAAGAATGAATAATACAAAGAGGCTGACATCAATACACGCTATTAACATACAACGCGACATGCCCAACTATTATTGACCATAGTTAAATCGGTTCCTTAATAATTCTATCTTCATATAAAATGACGCTGTTTGTAATATTGGGCTCTCTCTCGTCTCAAGATACAATAAAGAGGTTATATAGAGACTCATCGACACACATTTCCCTTATCACTTCTTCATATATTCGAGACATATCACAAAACGGCTAAACTCTACTCCCTTTTCCCTCATGTTCGCTCGTCGGATGAATGATCCTCATGGTTTTCGTTCTTCTAAAGATGAATCTAAAAATGATAAAAACAAACCACTCATGTCGCATGAAGAATTGCTAAAGCGCATTGATTACCTGGCCGATGTTGTATTTCCTGCAATTGAAGCCAAGATCAAAGAACAAATGGAAATTGAGAAAGCTAAATTTGACAATACACATTGTTTAGCTGAATATATGCCTGGCAGTCGTGTCATGGTTCGCATTCCTACCAAGAATGGTCAACTTGCTCCTGTCTATGAAGGACCCTATACAGTTGTACGTAAAAATGCTGGAAACGCGTATATCCTACGTGAGGAAACAGGTGTTATTATGCCTCGTAACTATACCACAGCTGAATTAAAACTGATATCAAGAGATGAAGTTGTTGAACTTGATGAAGGTAACGAAATTACCAACTATGAAGTTGAGGCTATCCTTAATCATCGTGGTCCACCTAACAACTATGAATATCTTGTTCGTTGGAAGAACTACAGTTCAGAATGGGATGAATGGCTACCGGTTCAAAACTTTAATGACTCTAAAATTATTAGAGATTACTGGAAACGCTTAGGCGTTGATTATAAGCCAAAGAAAAGTAGTGTTACTACTAACTCTCCTACTTCTGCTGCATCCTTAAAAACCACTCCAGCTGGCACGATTTCCAAGCTCATCGACTCAATGTCAGACATTTCTTTGTCAACTGATGTTGAAGCGTCAGATTCTTCTGTTGTTAATCCAAATGTGCAAAATAAGAACAAAAAACCAAAGTCAAAATCAAACCGTTCTTTAAAGCGTAACAAAGCCACATCTTCTGTTACACCCACACGATCCAGTAAAAGACTTAAAAAATCCCACTAATTGCATTCATTTAATGATGCTCTTAGCAGACATCTATTTACTTCATTCTCCCAGTATAAACCAAGTTTTTCAAACGTAATCTCAAACTGGTAGAGGGCAATGTCGTATTTGACCATGTCTAATACTAATCTTTACGTGTGAGATTACATTTGACTTAATTATATGTACCTTAGTTAGTACTCCGACCTCTTTTAAAACAACCTAATTTCTTTTTGCTATGAGCTCTTCCTCTCACTTCTAATAAAAGGATAAAACAGAGACTCATCACTTCTTTGCTTTTATTCTAC